GGAGAAGGAGAAGAAGGAGAAAGAGGAGAAGAAGGAGAAAGAGGAGGAGGAAAGGAAGGAAAGAAGAAAAAAAAGAAGAATGATGATTTGAAGCCTGACAACGCTAAAAGGTAGAAAGATCAAATTACATTTGAGAGCCCAAACAAAACTCTGATCGTTTATTTTCTAATGTGATGTGACTGTCACCCCAAAGGATTGGTATTAAATGGTTGACACTCTTTCACGCAGTTTGAATATAGTTGTTCTGAAGATCGCTGCAGAGAAAATTACTATTTACTAAAATAATTTGTGTATTTCAAAGTGATTGATTCATGAAGATTCCAGTGCAATCAAAGAAATTGGAGATGTCCCTGTGTAACAGAAAATGCCCCCCCCCCCCGCCAGTATACCTTAATTTCTTAGTTGCACAGTAATAGTTCCTGTTCCAGTTCCAGTTGCTTCTGTCTCTTAGAAACAGCTGGTCACTGCAATGCATAGTTGGTCACTATGATGCACATTGTATAAACCAATCCCCAATTGACAAGCCATTGTGCCTCTGTATTTCTTGCTCACTTATCACATATAAACTCTAGACCACCAGAGATCAGGGCCTGATATTCTGGGAATGATCCTGATCAGTGCCCATCAATGTAAATATATCTGCCTCCAAATCCTGGGGGTTGTTTCAGTGATTCTACTCACCATTGTACCTAGAGTTTGAGGTACAAAAAAATTAAGCAAGTAAAATTCAAGACAAACAATTCACTATGTTTCTTCTCTAATGGCCAAGAGTCCTTCTTCAATGAATATAGGACAAGATAAAGGAACATTGTTTTTTGGTTTTGTTTTTGATACCAGAAAGAGTTCTTGACGATGCAATCTGATAAAAAGTCCCCTCTGTTACCATCCTATTGGTTAAAAGGCACTTCCTATAGAGAACTTGCTTTCTAACTGGACTGATTTTGTACACTTAGATGTGGGCAAAAAGTAAGGCAAGTGAAGATAGGAAGGAAACCAGAAAGAGCTCTTAGAAGGTTTTCTGGGCCAATGCTTTTAAACTGCAGCCAACTCATAAGTGTTTTCTACCATAGGGCATGGGGAGAGGAGGTTATTTCTGTCCTTTAGGCTTGTTTATGAGCATTAGCTTTTTTGCTGCCTTCCTGTCTCTCTAGGATGCTCTCATGAGTTCTACATCTGTAGCATTATCCTTATTGCTATGAAAAACACATGCAGACTTCCTGTCTGTCTGTCCTTCCTGTTCTAAGCTACTTATGTTCCTAGTTTTCATTAACATATCTTCTAGCATGAGATTTTGGGACTCCTTGAATGCCTCATTCCCATGAGGTATCAACCTTAGCAACTGTTTCTCAGACACATCCATGGCTATTGTTGCTGGTTCTCTTCCCTCTACCAAGTCAAAGGTTAGCCTAGTAATCCACATTACATCACTCTAAACCCACCCGTGAGCCCTGATGCCATGACCTTCCACCATCAGCTCTCAGTTGTGGCATCTGGTTACCTTGTGTCACAGTTCCAGGACAGTGACTTCACCCAAGAAGGGCCAAGGCAGGAAACTCTTGCGTTGGCCTGAACTAATAATGGAGAAAAGGGAGAAGCCAAATCTTCCAGTGTAAAGATGTGTGCATTGTTTGTTGTGAGTAGCCCTTAGGGAGAGAAAGATTTCAAGTTCAGCATTTATGTGGCACATTTTTCAATTAGACAGTGTACTGTACAGCATTCCCTTCCTCCCTTAACCCCTTCTCTTTATTACCACATGACTTCATCTCCCCTTGTGACTGACAGAGCCCACTGGGTTCAACACTGGTAAAAAACATCTGTGGGGGAAAAATTGCAATTTAGAAAACGATTAAGTACATCAATTTCAATTCATTTAGTTGGCCAGAGAAAGAGAAGTTATTTCAAAGAGGTAACGCGATCTAGAGCAGTGGTGGATTAAAGGGCACACAGACTGGCTTTCTCCAGGTTGTAGTGTGGAGGAATGCATCTGAGCTCAGAGGTCTAAATGCAGACCTAAGTCTTTATCCTGCAGATTTTAACAAAGAACATACTACTGAGCATTTCTCTAGCTTTCTCATTTCTTCCCATTTTTAAAAACATTCTTCTATTCTTCTTGAATTCCAAAGGACTTAAGAGCTTCCTTGAAGATGTGTATTTATGTACTTCCCTCTGTCAAATTTCACCAGCTGCTCACTTGTTATGGGAGCTCAGTAAGTGAACCTTGGTTTACGCTTAAGGGTCCCATCTGAAGGGTTGAGAGGTGTTAGTGTGTGTGTGTGTGTGTGTGTGTGTGTGTGTGTGTGTGTTTGCTGACTTTCCCTTCCACTTTCCTCATTAGCTCTGTGATCACCCACCTGTCCTTCTCTCTGAGATGTTCAGAATCTTCATGAGTCATGTTCTCACTTTTTATCTGAAAAACCTTCAAGAAAGAAGTTGAATACCAACAAGTCTGATTTTGAGCTTCTCCTTTTTCACCAGAAACATATCTACATAAAAATTGTAACCACTGTTCTCTCTTGCTGAGAACTTACTATGAAACTGTCACTGTAATTCATACTTTGATTATATTTCATTTACCCATAGTATCAGTCTTATTAAGTACGTGCTATAGTCCTGTATTTTCCAAATAAGAAATGAATGTTTCTATTCTAAGACATAAAGATGCTTACCCACAGAAAAGAGGAACAATTTGAACTCATTTTTCCAGCTTCTTAAGTTTGTATTCTAAATAGCACAATCAAGGAATAAACTCTGGAAGGTTTGACCCAGTGATAACTGATTTGAAAATCTCTTGCTCCATTTAAATAAGTATGCATGCATAAAACAACTAGTTAGTGTCTGGCCCCAAAGTCTTTCTTCAATAAATCATCTTCACCTATTTCGCCATTTTTATCTCAATTTTCTTCAAACTGCAAAATAATCAAAGGATTATCACATACCTGTTGGGATTTTATTTCGGAGCCCAATTCATGTCACACATTTGGCCTAAAGTCATAAAAACAAGCTCTAGAATGTATGCATTTTACATTACTGATTGAAAAATATTAATTATCAGGAAGCTTCATTTAAGAAAGGGGCCAACTGGTAGAAAAGATCCTACAGGAAAACATTTCCTTTCAAAGTCTTCCTTGAGAACCAACATAGAACATACCCCCTTTCACAGTATGTGTTTCATTTTGCCTACTGTAGACAAGGAATGCAATTACAACAATATTACCAGGCCATACAGACATGGAGTTATGATGATCATGTAATTGGCTAGGGTTGACTAACAGGCTTTTCCAACAAATAGACCAAATTAGCACTAAGGGGTGGAGAGCACAAAAACAGGAAAGAGTGGGTTTGGTGTTAAGGAAAGAATGGTGAAAAGGGACTTGTGGACTAGAGGATATTTGAGAGGCAGAGGGAGAGGACAGAAGAACCACTGGTCAAGCTGTGATTGAATCAAATGCATTGTCTAAAATTTAAGAATTTGGGCCTCCAAATAGGGAATACAGCATTGACATTATAGCTCAGTAAAGTCATAAAGTTGCTGGGAAGAGTTTATTTAATATAACTGGAGGAACGGGGATATAGCTCAGTGGCATAAGCACCTGCCTGGCAGCATAAGGTCCTGAGTTTGATTCCCAGTACCAAAAAAACAAAATAAAACTGGAGATGGGGAAGGATGGGAAAAACAAGGCCAGGTTTTAGCAATAACAGTACTTTGACCTTGGAAAGTCTTCCTGCATAGTTAAAAGATGGGGAGATCACTGTAGGCTGGAAACTTTAAACACCCCTGCTAACGGAAGTCTCTAGACCCAGAGGATATACCATGACAGGAAAAAAGAATCAAGACAGCTTGCTTGTTAGAGGTGAACAGCTGAGCCATAATAAGAAAGCAAAAATGAGCCTATTGATACCAAGAAAAAGATTACTCTGAAAATATACCTAAATATACCAATTCTCTGCCACTCACCTACACATTCCCACCCAACTCCAGCCTCTGTGAGTCCAAAAAGTGCTTTTTTTTTGGCTTTTTTTCCGGTACCGGGAATCAAACTCGTGATCTTGCGCTTGCCAGGCAGGTGCTGTGCCACTGAGCTAAATCCCCAGGCCCTGTGAGTCCAATAAGTAAGCAATGAGGAAAGTCTCATTTTCTTGATGATGATGGTAACAGGGAAGCTACCTTCTCCTGGGTCAAACTCCTTTGCTGAAAACAGATGTTTATGGTAAGCTGGTTTCACTTTTTGTTCTTATTTTTTGCTTGGCTTGGTTTGATTTTAACCTTTCTGAATCAGTTTAGGACAATGAGCCAATTTGAATTTAAAGGTATTGATGAATTTATCAGAACCATTTGTCTTCTTGACTTTAAAAGCCAGGCAAAAAATGTTGCAAAATAAGATTTTCAGTCTTTCTGGCCTCTGTTCTTGCCAAGAACGCCCCAGTACTGCCCCTGGAGAGGCAGCAGGCCGTCCAGTCATCATGAAAGCCTGGAGCTGGCTATTAAAAGGAAAATGATTTTCCATACAAAGCAAATCGATCTTCCTATGCATCCAAAATGACCTGGTTTCAGCTGTGGGTGAAAGTTTAGGATGGAGTAACAGAAGTTCTTTTCTCTCTATGAACTCTTTGTATGTATTACTCTCTTAGACCTTTGTATTCTGAGTTATGATTACTGATGTATCTGTCTTTCCCACTATTGAGCCACAGTCTCCTGGGGCATTTTCTGTATGTTTTTAATACAGTGTCTGTCATGTACTAAGTGATCAAATCATGTCAACTTAGTGAATGTACAAAACTGCTGTATCCATATAGTTTTCTGACACCAAATGACCAGCTCTAAAAGTCAGTTATGGTTTCAAAGGCCTCTCTTCAATCTCCACTCTATACATGTGTATAGATACATTCTCTTAATTCAGATCATTTAAAGCTATTTTTCACATATCTGCTTAATTACCTTGCAGTGAACTTTGCAAAAACACTGGCCTCTGATGATTCTGTGAAGTAGTTTTTTGGCCTAGAGACCAAAGCATCAAAGAATCAGCTGGAGCTAAAGAAAACAATAACACAACTGGTTTTAATTACTCATGACAAGCAGCTGAATATATCAGACACAGGCTCCCTCTCCAGTGCTTTACTCAAAGAAGGCCAGTTACAGGAAATGATTGAAAGAAAAAACAAGATAATGCCAAAAGGTGTCGATAACACAAAGCAGATCACCTTTCACATGATGGCTTTTACACACTTAAACTTGTAGGTCCAATTTATTTCACTTAACATTATGGTCTCAAAGTGCATCCATTTTCCTGCAAATGACTGAAGTTCATCCTCCTTTATGGCAGAGTAGTACTTTAGATTATTTTTAATTAAACCAATGCCTTATATTAATTCAGCTTGTTCAGTTTTCAGTTCACCTCCTAGCCCATTTCTTTGGCAGGTCTTTTTCTAATATATACACACTCATTCAATCAAAGATCCAGGAGCAGCTGCAGTGCAGGCCGTGCTGAAGTCAGTGCTAAAATTAGATTATCAATGGTGTTTACTTATAGAAGTTCAAAGCTGAAATCTCAGGTGCGGCATTTCTCTTCTGGAAGGAGACACTTCCCATTGCTGTAATGCGGGCTTCTGTTACCAAATTACATTCATATATACATCACTGGGTAGTAAAACAGACCCAGAATAGAAAATGAAACTGTCTACCTTTTCTTGCCAAGAGAAAGCTAGAGACAAAATCACAAGACTTGTTTTCACAAGCTCATTTTACTCACGCATTAGGGAAAGATGCTGTTCAAGGAAAGTAGTAGCACCAAAGGGAGAAGAAGCTAATGAAACTGACAGGAAGGCACCAAAGCAGTCCAGATTTTCTTCATCCACCCTGGACTACTGGATAGGAAAAGGTAAGAGTGATTAAGACAATTTAGGATGTATGTTGCTTTCCTTTCTACATACTGTTCAGGTGTATACAAGGAATTTGTTTCTTTATTATAGGTATTAGCACATATTAATTGAAGAAGATAATGGGTCTATTTTCAACATTTTCATATGCGCAAATAATACACTTTGGTCATACCCACCTCCCTACTACCCTCTCTATGCCTCCCACTCCATCCAATCCCCTTCTCCTTCTTTAATGTCTCCCTTCTGCTTTCATGCCAGTTTTCCACTGCTAGATTCCACATATGAGAGAAACATGACAATACTTGTCTTTCTGAGTCTGGCTTATTTTGCCTAGTATCCTCTACTTCCATCTATTTTCCTAAAAGCGACATGGTTTCATTTTTCATGATGGCTGAAGAATACCCCATTGTGTATATATACCAGGTTTTCTTTATCCAGTCATTCCTTGATTGGCATCTAGGCTGTTTCCATAATTTCATCATTGTGAATAATGCCACAATAAACATAGACAGCAGGTATCTCCATAGGATGTGGGCTTTGATCCTTCAGGTATATATCCAGGAGTGATATAGCTGGGTTATATGGTTCTACTTTTAGTGTTTTGAGGAACCTTCATACAACTTTACTTAGAAATTGTTGAGTACGTTCCCACCAACAGGGTATAACGATTCCTTTATTCCCAGTATCCTTTCCAGAATTTCGTTGTTGTTGTTGTTATTTTCTTGATAATGGTCATTCTGACTACAGGAAGATGGAATCTTAATGTATTTTTTATTTGTATTTTCCTGATGGTTAAAGATATTGAGCACTTTTCCATGTATATATTGTACAGTAATTCTTTTTTTAGAAGCATCTGTTGAGTTCATTTGCTCACTTATTGAATGAGATTTCTCATCTTTTGGTGTTAAAATTTTGGGTTATATTTATCCTCTGTCAGATAAATAGCTAAACAAAATTTTCTCCCATCCTATAGGTTGTCTCTTCACTCTGTTGCTTGTTTCCTTTGCTGTACAAAAGCTTTTTAAGTATGTGCGATTCCATTTGTCAATCCTACAGGCAATTTCTTAAGGCACTCTTCCTGATGTTTCACTCAGTCTTTCAGAAAATGCAGAGTATTACAGAGTGAGCTCTTCCAAGTGTGTGTACATCAGAATGTGTGCACTACTTCATCAAGAACCTGTACATACACATCATCAATTAATTCCCAACATGCATTGCATCCCTTCCCTTCTCTCCATTGCTGCCTGCATTCCAAGTGGAGCCTTGGAGGAGGTATCCTGTCCCAAAGCACCACTGCCCCATCCACCTGTGCACTCCCTTGCTCCCCAAGAGAGTCTACCACAATGCAGTGTGAACATCCACACAGGAATGTACTGCTCTGGAAAGCCCTGTTGCTTTTTCTGGCCCAGTACCAACAGCCTATTCTTCCTAACAAAGGCCCTGAGGATGTCCATGCTCTAAGTTGCACTGCTATCAGAGAGGTCAAAGACACAGCCCTCCTAAGCCACACTGTCCTTCGTATGATGATGCCATTTTCCTTCAGGCCACTTCAGCACCAGGAAAGAAGTACAAGCAGAACTTTGTCAGCTAAGTACAGTATCTAGGTGGGGCCAAGTGAGAGAAACAGGTTTAAACAGGAGCAAGGAAGGTGAGTAGGAAAGAACACAGGGCTCAGAATCAGGAAGCTGGCTATTTGCTCCCCCAGTCACATGTTGTTTCATAGCCTGAACTGTGTTGGCTGCAGGAGTCTTTGGTAATTTAGACAGAAGGATGCTTGTCCTCTATAGACATGTGAAACTGTCCATCCCACGAGTCCTTCTATGTCCTTTACAGAACCCACCTCCATTGTCATTCTTTCATGGTAAACACACACACACACACACACACACAAAACCATACCACAAATCAAATTCACTGCTTTCCTATGGATTTAAATCTAAAAATGTCTAACTCTGCCAATAAATGGAGATTAACATTTTTGAACTCATTTTTTCAGTACATTTCTTCCAGGATTTAGGTTGGTCCAAATGCACTTACTCCATCCCTATGGATGGAATTTAATTGTTAAGCTTGTACAAAGAATATTAGGAGAGATATCCAGCTACCAAAGCTGTTAGGAGTTCACATGGACCTAGGGCAAGCTATTACAGCATATTACAGTGATCTATTTCAATTGACTTCATTTGGGTCAATTTCACACAATAAAATGTGCCATTCAATGAGTTTGAAGAAATGTATGTAACTATGTACCTGTTACCAAGGTTGACACACAAAATATTTAAATATCTTTTCCCAAAAGTACCCAAATATTTCTAGTTCTGCTTTATTTTATCCAAATATAGGCCTTTAAAAGAGTTACAAACTAATATTTCAAAGTAATATCTTAGATTTAAACATTTGGTCATTGTCTCCCAGAAGGGAGAAATGAGATGGTAGCTTTATGAAGATAGAATTTTGATGACTATAATTTGGGTTAAGTCCATTATTTTATAAAAATAAAGGGGAGAGGGATGCCAAGCAGTGAGAGTCATTCTGAGTTTCAAAATTATTTCCTGAGTTTTATAAAGAGAAATAATTCAAGTTATATTGGAATGATTGAAATTTTATACTTTTAAAAACTGACTTTGGAGTTCTAAATTACCTCCTTTTATGTGGATGGTAAATTTGGGGACTTGAACTGAGGATTCTAATTGTTCAGTTATCTGGCCAAGATTGTAAATTTCACATGTATTCCTCATAGCACACAGCATGCTCACATGAATAAAGGTTAGTTCCAACAGACTCTTTATCTCCTTTAACTTTAAAATTTTTTCTGCTTTTTATTCCGGAAACTACATGTTTACTACAAAAATTTAAGCCTGTGCATTAAATAACAGAGTGAGACACTGGAGAAGAAGTGGGGGTAGTGAAAAATTAGCCAGTGCAAATCCTTTCAAACGCAATTTTAAAAAGTTTTCTGATTATGAAGATTCAGCTGTTCTAAATTATTTGGTCATAACTGTGATGACTGCTGAATAGGTTTTGTGCTAGAAATTACAGTAACAAGATATTTGAGGTTATCAATCAAGATCTTAGTGAGAAAGCCTACTCTTGATTCCTCAGGAACTGAGGGTTAAAAAAAAAAAACTGGCTAAGGATCAAAGCTAAGTATGAGCAAAGGGAAACATCAAAAAATCTGTCTTCCAGTCCACCCAAAAGGCTTTTCTTATGCTAGGAAGGTACAATGTAGAAAAATATTAAGCAATTGCAGCTTCTTTTCAAATAGAAAAGTAAACACAAATGAGTGTTTATATGTGGCCCCCTTTTTACATCTATAAAAATCATCAAAGTAAAAAACTCCACAAAATGATGAGTATTGTTATCCACTTTGGAGATGAGCAAATTTAGATTGCTAATATTGCATAGCTAACACCAGAACTAGAATAGAAACTAGATAGAACTAGATAGAAACTACCTGCATTCAAATCTAATTCTGCATTAGGAATGTCACCTCAAGTGACACCTATGATTCCCTTGATGCTGTCTGTCTAAGGCTGAATTCTAAGACTTCATTGAGACTCAGCAGGAAAGGGACCTGTGATTGATTGTTTAATGATATCTCCCTGAAGTATCCGATGAGGAAGCAGTAGTACAGTATATTGCTGTATATTTGGTCATTTCTACTTAGACTATGCTGCCTCCTTCAGTCAAATATTACAGTTTAATTCCAAAAAGCCAGACTAAAGTTTATTTTGCAAGTACAGTACTGTAAAAGCAGCAGCATCTAAATGAATTCATAATATAAGATAGGAGAAAGTAAAGAGAAATTATTTTACACTACTAGAAGTGACTTCACTAAAAATTTGTATCCTCAATAGGGATTCTCATGGCAAATTTTTCATATGATTTCTTGGCTCTAAAAGTCTCTATTGACCTTGTTGTTCTCATTATATAGCAGGTGGCTTTAGAAGTAGGACTATGGAATAAAACAAAGAGACCTAAGAGATCAAGAGCAGAGGATTTTAAGAATGTGAAGACTGAACTCTTCTTTTTCACAGAATACCTAAACATGAAGCTGCCCTGGTTAAAGTGAGGCTAGGTCTTGCCCACTGATCCTTCCCATCATTCTCCAACGAGCCCTTAAATGATCTCAGCAAAATTCTACAGCTTTTAAATCACCGATGTTTCATTTTCCTGCTTTTCCAAAGAAACTTGAGGCCCAGGAAGGTGAAATGTCTGAAGGAGAACATCCTTGAAGATGTTTTATCCTCTAAATACTATCTTTCACCAACAATGTATTATAATATTTGATTATAGTTATTCTTGAAAGTACTGTGATTTATAATCAACAAAAAAGAGAAATGCCTCTCACTAGAATGCTGTGTCCTCACTACTGTCCGGTTCTCTTCATTCCATTTCCTTCAGTGTGGTTCCATTTCCTCCTCTGTCCTGGCACCACTGTTCCTTTTCTGTCTCATTCACACGCAGCTCCTCTGAGAAGGGACATTTGAAGACTGATCTCAGGGACTGCATCGCTTGCCTCTTGGATACTGCAGCTGCGGAAGCTGTGATTGTACTGACAACTGATGCTCTTGCATTGATGTGACTAGAACTACACACAAGGTGTGATTTCAAAACAAAATGCTCTGTTTTCATTTTCATGTATCATACTATCTTGATATTTATGGATTCATATAAAATAATAAAATATATATCTATCTTATAACAAATATAGTTTTATTTTAATTTTGATTCTGTTTATATATTTTATTTTGATAAATATTATTTTAAGCTCATTCAGTAAAGTTGGAAACTAACATGAAAGAGGTTGATGCCACTGAATAAAAATCATGAAATATAATAAATTAGATACATAATTTTGATCATCTAATATCTAAAAAATTGTCAAAAGCTAAGTGGCATCAATGCTGATTATACTTTTATGAATTGCTTCTTTCTCCCACTTGAAATCTAAAGCTGAGGAAAGCTATCAGCTGTGTGATTAACATCATGTTGGTACTACTTATTTATTTGCTAAAGTAAATACATTTGCAACTAGATTAAACAATTTTCCCACTGTCCCATGTCACAAAGTGTTAAAAAGAAAGCAAATTTTTAAATCAAACAATCCCCCTCTTCCCAGCTGACCTACAAATAAACCATGTCAGATGCTCATATCCCCTAACTTCTTGTTTGTTGACCCACATATGAATGTAGGAGGTCACTGAGGTCAACATGCTAAAATGTCATTCCTTTAAAAAGACCATGTTTGCACTTAATTAGAGGTCACAGCTGTACAGTGAGCCTGGTCTACTAAGAAGAAATCTTTATATTTGTTTGAAAGGAGCAGCTGCCTCTCTTCCAACACAAATATGCAAGCACAGACTTCCTTTCCCAGGTCTGTGCCCACACTCCTGGGCTCTGTCTGACCAGCTTCCCTGTGGTCAGCTTGGCATTACACATGGAGTGACAAGATGGCTGGATTACTAACTAAGCTTCTGTGTTGTTCTGAGATCAAAGTCAGCCTCATCATGAAGCAAGCAGGAGAGCTTGCTTGGGCCAGACAGGAGGAGATTTGAGGTCTACGGTCCAAAAAAAAAGCAGGGATTTTTCTGCTTCATGAGGTAAATGGAAAACATATGTCATGGTTGAGAGTAGGGAGTTTGGTGTCAGGCAGAGCTGGCTGGTCATAAGCTTTAGTTCTGTCTCTTACCAGTGTATAACCTTGACAACTTATTTAACCTCTTTAAGCCCCAGTTTCCATGACTATAAAAATAGAGCTAATAATAGTACTTACTATGAAGAATTGCTGTGAATAATAAATGAGATAGGATTCCTAAGCTGCTTAGCAGAATGACTGGCCATATTGGGATGAGCATTCCAGAAAATCAGCAGGACTGATTTAGAAATACCCCAGATCACCCCAACCAGTAAACATCCATGACCACCATCCCTAGACTCTCCAGTACTTTATGGCTACACCTGATGTCCAGGTAAACACTTTTGCCTCAGTAGATATTTTATCCTGATCATGTTTTCTCTGCTGCCAGACTTGGGACTCAGGCACTGCATGTTCCAAGGAGCAAACCTCATCTCAACACTATATATA